TTTTTTCATTAAGAACATCCTGTTATTTCCTTAGTTGTACAATTCAACTTCACTATGATTGAGGTAATTCACAAAAGGCTTCCCATTGTACAAATTCCTTTTTCTGATCTCATGTTGTTCTTGAACCTTTAAATAAAGACACCAAAACCGACAGGTCAGAGATGCCTGCCTGGTGATCAGAAAGAATCTCGGGGCTCTCTCACTCTCTCTCTCGCCGACACCGTCCATCCTTCAGGGACCCCTGGACCTGTCGGAGCAGGCTTCTGACAGAGAGCCACATGGGCATGTAGCCTGAGACATAAATAAACGTTATCGTAGGCCACCAAGATTTGGTCAATCATGTGTTATGCAGCATAACCCGTCCTAACCTAACTGATACACGTAACGCATGAACTACTTGCTCATTGCTCTATTGCTTAGCTAAAGCACCACTGGCCTTTCAGCACTTAAACAAGTTCTCCCTCCTACCTCAGAAAGTTTGTCTGTGACTCTCTCTCTTTCTCTCCTTGGAAAGTTCTTTACTCCTATTTCTTGGAGAGTAGATAGTTACTCACCAATGAGATCTTGGCTTAGCCGTAAAGTACTCGGGAAAGGATTGCCTGGTCTCTGTTCAGAATACCTTGAACTTACCTTCTTTGTCATTAGATCTCTTTCACTCAACTCTAAGTTACAGAAAGACAGAGCCCAGGAATTAGATCATGCTTTGATGAGGCACTACTATACCACCCACCAATGTGCCAGGGTCCATGCTGAGGGGCTGGAGGTAATGCAGGTACATCAGCCATGAGCCCTGTTCCCACAACCTGCCCCATCACAGGGGAGACAAGTGTATGAGCAGCAGCATTTGAACCCATTGTGATCGCTCTAGCAGGAAATTAGTATAAAGAGGCCAGCGAGAAGGCAAGGAGACTTCCTGGAAAAGGGGGAGTCAGAGATGGTTTTGAGGAGGATTTGGAGTTGTCCAGACTGGTGGGCGGGGTGGGGGGGTGGGGAGCATCCTGGGAGAGTGGGAGATGGAGGGGCAGCTGGTGGAGAGATTGTAGAGCAACAAGTAGTGCCCTGTTTCCAGGGCTTGGAAGAGCATGACCCCAGGAGAAGTTGGAACCAGAAGTAAATATGTGGCCTCTGTCTGTATTCCTGGGAACACAAGGGAGCATTCCTGTTTCAGTGCCTTTGCAAGCTCGTGGTGTTTGCTTCTTGGGAGTCGATGGATGGTGATGAGACCACCGCAGATTCCAGGCCCTTTCACACAGTGGGTGTCAGTGGCAGACTCTGACCTGAGGGTGGGTCGGGCCATGTGTGGGCGTCTGGGCAGCTTTCTCCCAGGACAAAGCAACAGGAGACATCTTTGTCTCCACTCTGCTCACTGGACATGTCTGGATGCCTTCAATTCCTGCCTTTGTTTTCTAAGAACCCACCCCAGCTCTTTCTAGTAAATCAAGGCTTCCTGTGTACACAGCCCAGTAGTCCTTTAATATTTGCATAAGGCGATCAAAATGAAAGAGAAGTGAATCACCAAAGCACCATGTCCCTGGGTATAATGTCTCTCAATACGATCTTGTTAGTAAAAGAAGCTGCAGGTCCCAGGATGACACCAGATGCTCCGTGACTAGGGGCTGTGGTCACTCAGCAGTCCCCTGCTCTGGGGAAATGAGGTGTCTCCCCACAGGACCAGGGTTTCAGGGCCCTGATGAAACATGGAAGGAAAGCTTCCCAGCCTCCCAGAAGGTGGGAAGGTGGGCAGAGATGCCAAAAAAGCCATTCCCTTTTGTGGCCCTTGATTTTCTTGTTGTTAGAATAGGGAGTGAGGTACCGTTCCCCGACCACCAATATCACTGGCCTTGAGGCTTAGACAGTAGATGGACAGTTCTTGGAGAAGCCCATTTGTTCCAAGGAATTGTGGTTGTTTCTGATGGTATTATTATTTTCATGCCGGTTGTGCGGTGGACCCTGCTGGGCTCCCCACACTGGAGGGGACGGACACACTGGAGGGGACAGATACCCACAGACCCTGGACCGGACCCGGCACACAAGTTCTCCTTGAAAACGCTGATGTCTGCGTCGTGGATGTCTAGAGGAAGGGACGTCAGCCCTCACTGGGGGGAGGGAGATGGAGCAGCACAACCAAGGAAGAGTCTTGTGAGCTGGGACCATAAGGTGAGGATAGGGGGTGTGCAGAGGCGGGGGGGCGGGAAGTGCAGGAGCAAAGGCCCGCGGCCCTGGGCAGGCATAGTCGGCGGTGACGGGACGCCATCCTCCGGCCTCAGAGAGCTGGCTGGATCTGGCACAACAGGGCCACTTCCAGGACTCTCTGCACCGGAGGGTGATGATGAGCTCCTGCCTGGCTTTCTGTCGGGCTTGCGGTTTGCAGGTCCAGCACAGCTCACCAGCATCGGGGAGACATGAGCCTGCCCACCCAATGGATGGGAGCACGGGGCTCGGCCAGATGACGGCAGGTAGAGGCCAGCTGTGGCGGACCGCAGGCCACAGGGGTGGGCAGTGTAGAAGCTGAGGCTGCACACTATTGGGGTCTGGGTAGGTTCAGTTCCAAAGCCAGTGGGCTCCTCCCTAGGGCCACTGCCTCTCATACCAGCTAGTGCCTGCTGGTGAGGCTTCAGAAGTTCCAGGCCACAGCTGGATGCGCGTGGGTCTCATGCAGTGCGCCCTCTCAGAGCAGCCATCCCTGGCCGCCTGCAGGGCCCAGCTGAGAAGGAGTCCAACGCTGTGTGTCCGTGTTCCATGTGCAGTAGTGCTGCAACCCATCCGTAGTGTGTGCAGCGGGTGAGGAAGGGGCGACCTGGCTTATGCACACCAGCCATTTGCTGTTCCTGGTACAGCCCCTTATTTTGCATATGGAGAAACTGAGGCCCAGAGGGAAGAAGGCCCTCAACCAGTTTCCGGTCCTTACACTCCCGAGTCTGGCCTCTCCACAGACCTNCTGGCTTATGCACGCCAGCCATTTGCTGTTCCTGGTACAGCCCCTTATTTTGCATATGGAGAAACTGAGGCCCAGAGGGAAGAAGGCCCTCAACCAGTTTCCGGTCCTTACACTCCTGAGTCTGGCCTCTCCACAGACCTCATTGCACCCGCCGTGACACAAAGTGAAAACAGTGAAGTATGGATGTGACAAGGCAGCTGTACTGGATCTGTCTGGACCCACACCGTGTGCCTCTTCTTGCTTTTCTCCTTTGCCTGTATTCCATTTTGGTATGGTGGGACAATGAACATCCGTGAGCCCACGGCTCCACTCCAGAACCAGAACTCTCCTGGTCCCTCGCATCTCCTCCTTGCCTGGATGTCACCCCTCTCTGCAGCTTTGTGTTTGTTTGCCGTTCTCTTGCTCACATGCTTACTGAATAAGTCTAAACATCAGACCGCTTCTTTGTTCTCGAGCCTTAAACAATTGTTTTCTCTACATAGACCTCAAAAATTTGCATTTAAAATTATTTTTTAATGTTTCATTTATTTCTGAGAGAGTGAGAGAGAGAGCGTGAGCAGGGGAGGGTCAGAGAGAGACACACACACACACACACACACACACACACAGAATCCGAAACAGGCTCCAGGCTCTGAGCTAGCTGTCAGCACAGAGCCCGACGCGAGGCTCAAACCCACGAACTGTGAGATCATGACCTGAGCCGAAGTCAGACCCTTAACCGACTGAGCCACCCAGGTGCCCCCCAAAATTTGCATTTTTGTACTCAACATTTTCCTCTGTCTAAGCTTGAGCTATGCTGCTGTGTAGCTGGGGTCTGCTCTCACCTCTGTGAAAGAAAATTGTGTGACTGCTCTTTAATTTGGGTTTGCATTGCCCCATCAATGAGTATCTGGATCATCTCTGTTCTTCCCCTCCTCCCGTTCACAGTGCTGCTAAGAACTCCTCTTGCACATGCCTTGTGTAACACCTGGGAGTGGATGTGCACCCTTCTAAGGTGTGAGAGGGGTCACCCTGACAAGAAAATGCCAAAGTGGATTTCAGTGTGGCCAGAGCAGGTATCACACTCCTCCCCTCAGTGTGCCAGATAATCTGCATCCTCTCAGACCCTCAGTGCTGTCAGCAGTCAGGTGTCTTCCTCACTGCGGGTCTGATGGATACGAAAGTGACCTCATACTTCCCTGCATCCTAGTGACATCGGGCAGCTTTGTCCATGTTCATGTGTGCACCCTGTCTCCTCCTCTGTGACATGCCTGCCGTGGTCCTTTTGCTCATTGCCTCTCCTCTTCCTGTGGATTTGTAGGACTTCTTTATGTATTCTGGATACTGATCCTTTGCTTGTTGCACATATTCCAATGGTGATCTGCTTTTTGTGGTTTGTCTTCTCACCAGTCATTTGGAGAAAAGACATTTATATGTTACTGCAGTTAAACCTATCCACTTTTTTATGCTTACTGAGCTTTTAATACCCTGTAAAGGAAATTGTTCCCCACCCCAAGTGTGGAAAGCCACTCCCCCCGAAAAAACTCCTCTTCAACTTTTTTCTTTGAAATGTAAATTTTTCATGTGTCTGGAGTGGACTGGGGGGATGCCGTGTGAAGTGGGGATCTAATTCATTTTGCCATGCGGATACCCAGTTGTCTCAGCGCCGTTCACTGCATGAGCCTCCTTTCTCCAGTCACATATTAAGAAGCCTTTTTAAAAATCCTAAGTATTGAGGTCTTCAGGTCGTTGATAATCTGTAGCACACCCGCAGTCATTCATGTGTGTGGTCCATGTATTCTCCCCTCTCCTTCTTTTTATCATTGCACTTTCTGGTATGTGCAAGTGCCCCAGGAGGCCCTGGGTAGCCATCTATGGTGTTTTAAATGTTTATTTATTTATTATTTTTTGAGAGAGGGGAGGTTGGAAGGAGCAGAGAGAGAGAATCCTAAGCAGGCTCCGCCCTGTCAGTGCAGAGCCTGATGGGGGGCTCGGTCACACAACTGTGAGATCATGACCTGGGCTGAAATCAAGAGTCAGACGCTTATCTGACTGAGCCACCCAGGCGCCCCCTTCCATGGATGTTTTTGTGAGGATGAGGAAATAGGTGCACAGAGGAGGGTTGAGTTTGTGATGACCCTGCACAATGATCATGTTAGGTGACCCCAACGTGGAGTCTGGCTCCAATTCTCTGAAGGGGGGGGTGGCTTGCACAACAGACATGGACTTCTTCACACTTCTGGAGGCCGGTAACCCTGATGGAAGTGTGGGAGGGTTGGTTTCTGCTGAGGCCTCTGCTCCGGGCTTGCAGCGGGCCGCCTTCCCACGGAGTCATCGAGTGGTGGAAAGAGCGAGCTCTGGGCTCCACCCCTCATGAATCATTGAACTTTGAACTCCTGCCCACAGGCCCATCTCCAAGTACAGCCACACTGGGGGACTGGCGCTGGGGCTTCGGCGTATGAATCTGGGGGACACAGACATTCAGTCCACGGCAGGAGTGAGGGGATTTGAGAGGCTGGAACATTCACAGGGCAAGAGTGTTTGGGTTTTCCCAAGCCCTGCCCAAACTGAGTGATTGGACAGTAATCCTCATTTATCTGCGCAGGGTTTCAGGTTTGGGCAGGGCCCCTGGGGAGGGCTGCTCTGTGCTGTGTGTGTGACATCGGCTGAGGCTTTGCTCACCACAGCTGACAGCTGGAAGCCCCTCTGGGGCTGATGGGTGGGAGCCTTCGTCCTTCGTCCTTTCCATGTGGCTACATGGGCTTCCTCTCCGCATGGCGGTCGGTTTCCAAGAGCAGAAAAGCAGAAGTTTCCAGTCCTTCCAAAGGTTAGGCCTGAACCTGGCAGGGGGTCATTTCTGCCGTCACAGAAGTGAAGGTGTACAATGTGTCATGTGGCACATTGACATAGTACAACGTCACTGTAGGCAAGCTAATGAGCGTGTTCATCTCCTCACATAATTGTCTTGGTTTTTAATGGTGCAAGCGTCTGAAATCGGTTCGTAGCAAATTTCCAGTACACCATACGGCCTTATTAACAGAGGTCACCATGTCCACACGTCCTCATTTTACCTAAACTGCAGCCTTGTACCCTCTGACTGACATCTGGCTATTTCCCCCGCCTCCCGGCCGCTGGGGGGCATACGGACCTGGATCTGTCTTCTCTCAGCCATGCACTTGTAGACACTGTAAACATGCTGTGTTTGCCGGCACCTCCCAAGTCACGTCTCCTCTTGCCCTTTAAGCTCAGGCTAGCCAGCTCTCTCCTCACGCCAGTGCAGCCCCGAAGTGTGAGGACGCGGGGCTGGGGCACACCAGAGCTGTGACCGTTGGAGCCGGCTGTCCCAAATGCCACTGTCTGGGGCTGGTGCCTCGGCGGCCAGCACACACGGGCCCCACGACTGGAGTTGTAAGGGAGTGTGTTTTCCTGGCGTGAGGTTCGTGGCTTGGATCACATTCTCTGATGGGTCACTCACCCAGAGAAGGGTGCCAAGGTCGTGACAATGGACCTGATTTGAGTCCATCTCCGTGACGTGGCTGTGAGAGGTGGCGGTTGGCCTGGCCCCTCCGAGCCCACCTCAGAGAAGCCATGGTTTCTTGTGGGGCCCGCTCACCACCTGCCACTTAGCAGGGGCCCAATAACGCAGGAACCCAAATTCACTTTCTCTCCTGTTTTGTTTGTTTCAATTTTTTCTGGTGGGAAACTTGAAACATGCATAAAAGTAGGCAAAACAGAGTAAGATCCCCCACCCCACATATCCCACTTCAACAACGGACAGCTCACAACTAATGTTATCTTCCTCTCCTTCTCCCTGTCATATTGTATATTTTCCAAGTTCTTTAAATGTTTATTCATTTGTAAGAGACCGGGAGAGATGGTGTGAGCCGAGGAGGGACAGAGACAGAGGGAGACACAGAATTCGAAG